GTCGCGCCACTGTCCCCCTCCCCCCCCCCCCTCGCGGTCCGCCAGCGCGCTCAGCTCCAGGTGACGGCCCTCGGGCGCCCGCGCCACTGTCCCCCTCCCCCCCCCCTCGCGGTCCGGCAGCTCGCTCTCAGCTCCAGATGACGGCCCTCGGGCGTCCGCGCCACTGCCCCCCCCCCCCCTCGCGGTCCGGCAGCTCGCTCTCAGTTCCAGATGACGGCCCTCGGGCGCCCGCGCCACTGTCCCCCCTCCCCCCCCCCCTCGCGGTCCGGCAGCGCGCTCAGCTCCAGGTGACGGCCCTCGGGCGTCCGCGCCACTGTCCCCCCTCCCCCTCGCGGTCCGGCATCTCGCTCTCAGTTCCAGATGACGGCCCTCGGGCGCCCGCGCCACTGTCCCCCCCTCCCCCCCCCCCCTCGCGGTCCGGCAGCTCGCTCTCAGCTCCAGACCCTGACACCCGGGTGCCGACGCCGCTGTCGCTGCCGCAGAGGCCAGGCGGGCCGGCCGTCTACCGCGGCAGCCCTCACACGGCGGCGCGACACGTCCAACCAATTATAGCCAAATGGCCGGCGCTCTCGCTCCGTGAGGAGACCACCAATGGCGCCGCACCGACGCCGTGGACCGGGCCGACGGCCCGCCGCCTTATAAGCGCCGACCAATTAGTCTCCGACCGAGGGCGCCGCTTGACGAGGCGACCCAGGTGACGTCACGTTCGTAATCTCAGAGCCGTCACCGAACAGAAGCGCTCCAGGCCGCCGCCGGCCGCTCAGCTGCTAAGTCCGGTCACCGCATGGCTTGACCGCCCGCAGCCGACATGCCGGGCTGTCACTCAGCGTTCAGCGCGAGCGGGCGGCCGGCGTCGCTCCTTTGTTTTCGGAGCGGCGCACCCGACGGCCGGTGGTTCCAGCCGTGCAAAAATCGCCGTCCGGCGCGCGCGCGCGGATTGTCGTGTCACTCAGCAGCGGGTCAGCGCGGACTCAGCCGGGCCGCGAGCGACGGGTGTTGTGGCGGGCCTGTCGGCGGCCGGCCCGCGCTGACTGGCGCGCGGGGCTCGCCAGTGGCCAAGGGAGGCGCGCCGAGGCTCGCTCACGCGGGGAGGCTCACCGGCCAGGGGCCCCGCCGTTACCTGCCTCCACACGCGTGGCAAACGTGATAGATGCGCATCCCACATCCTGTAAATTGGAGTTTCAACTCGTAGCGTGACGGCTGCAGCGTGGCGTTTCGCATCGCGTGGGATGATACAGTGAGTACTGATAGCGTAGTGGTTAAGCCGTGCGTTTGGGAAACTAGATGTGTGGGATTCGATTCCGGCGATGTCCCCGCCCTCACCGCCACTATGTGAGCCAGGTGGTGCCATATAATCTCAGCAGATGAGAGCGTCTAAAGCCCCAGGAACGCACGTGATATAATGTGGAACAGTTTTTATTTTCTTAAGACCTGTTGCTGTTATCGTGTTGGTAGTACATATAACGATGTAGTCAAGGGCATAGAGGACAAAAAGGGTGGTCAGACTTAGCATCCCCTTGAGGAGCCGGGAAGCCAAATAGCCCCTCCACTCGCCAAAAGGGCGTTTTAATATATGTATATATATATATGTATATATGTATGTAATGGACATGCATATCCATGAGAGCTAAGATAAATATTTCTTGAGGAAACAGGGTAGAATAAAGATAAAACCTCTTCAAAACTATTCCAGGAGATCCTACCGTTCCTGGAGCGGTTAAAAGGCCCTTACTGGGCTAAAATGGGTCTCTAAAAACACAAAATTGGGCAAATAAAACGAATTTGGGGCGGTATGGGATACCGCGGACGCCGCCAGTTTGTAGTTTAAGTACCCTCATTCATGAAAAAACGTCATGATATCTACAGTAGCATAATCAAACTTTACAACTATTTTCTCGTCAGAAAGCTAAGACTACACATGTATATCGTATACTTCTGTCTTACTCGCGCACATATCATGATAATGCAAACATATATTTTATCAAGTGATGGCGTATTAGGCCCGACACTGGTGACGAGCCGGAGATCGTTGCCGTCCGGCTGGAGGCCTCTGTGCGCTGGAGAACGGAAACTCCGGCCCGGACCCACCGAGCACGCCCCGTGCGGCCGCAGAGCTCCGCGGATCTTATTTCGTTGGTTGATTGTAGGATCCACTGCTATTTTATCACAGTTCGTCCACTTTTCTCTGTGGATGATGATGATCATCATAGGGGTCTCTCTCTCTCTCTCTCTCTCTCTCTCTCTCTCTCTCTCTCTCTCTCTCTCTCTCTCTCTCTCTATATATATGGTTAGCCTTGTTTGACGGTGCCACTCCGCTTGCGCGGGAGGGTAATCTCTCTGTAGCTGCATGGTGAGGGGTCTGTTGATCACTACGAGTCCGATGTATGTACACGCCACTGGACAGGAACGCGCGTTCTCATTTTTTCCAGCAGCACATCTTTCAAGGGAGTGAGAACTCTGACACAGTCTAACTTGCCTCATTGGCGAAATCCTGGCCATGCGCCTGAAGGTATAGCAGTAGTATACATGCATCATTCACACAACACTCATATATATATATATATATATATATATATATATATATATAAATTTCCATTTACATAGGCAATAACAAGAGGCCGAATGGTAAAGGTGAAGAAACACATACATCTATTTACCCTCATCATGCTATTTCCCTTAAACTTTGTGTTCTCTCCTTTTCCCTCTCTTACCCTGTGTGACATTTACTCACGGATGTGATTTAATGTCACACAGCGTAAGACCAACGACGGGTGAGCGTGGTGGCTGTTAATGACTCCGTCAGTTTCACGCGTCATTACCGGATGTATCTGAAGGCGTTTCGGAGCAGTTCTATCGCTATGTTTGCCGACGGGTTCCCTTTATCGGCGCAGCCTTAAGCCGACTTCATATGTCAGTGGATGCCCACGCAGTGAACGATGCCAGAACAATGCCGTCGATATGTGCACTTCTGCAGACCTCGGGAGCGTGTATCACATGATGTCTGAGGATGAGTCAGGGATGAGGATCGTGCAAAAGCATTCCTCGCACTCGATTCAATGAACTCGCCGGAAATGAAGCTGCAGGATAGCCGGACTCCTCCTTGTGTATGCCGGTTATCAGCTTCACTTCTCATATTCCTGCTGATGTTTACTTACAGGCAGCCGACCCCTGCACCGGTGTCCGCGAATCCGGTGGCGGGACTTTCATGCTGGATAGGGGAGGCGCGTGGTATAGGGATATTCCGTCCCCTGGGACTGCTCTGAGACGCCTATGCGCGCGCGATTTACGGTTGGTGGAAAACAGGCTGGAATATACAGTTGAGAAACAGGCGTGGATGGAAGCGGGATAGTGCATTTTCAAGAGTTGGAGTTGCCCGCAACTTCGCTGTGTCTAGTTTCTATAAATGGAGAATATGCCTACCACAACTTAGAAGAGGCACCTGAACGCGACGTTGAGCAATACTGCTATGTAATGGCAAACACATGTACGGATTTATTGCTTAACACCGCGACATACGTGCTTTTAACTTGACGCGGCCAAACTTTGTATGCAGACTGAGACTGGCACGCGGCATCACGCACCAGTGGCCCTGTTCCGTGCACTCGACGCCGAATGCCCAGCTCGGAGAGGGCACGACCCCGCCTCGTCTCTCCGCCAGCCGGCGGCACCGATCGCCCGCCGCCTGCCGTTCGGTGTTATGCCGGCCCGCACGGCCCCCCGGAGAGCACTGAGCGCCGGGCCATGCGTCGGTCCGCCTCGGGCGCGCCCAGCGGAGTGCCGGGTCAGATCTGGGGCAGGTCAGCTCGCCGCGGCAGCTCCCGGCGCCGGCCGACGGCGGCGCTCGGGGCTGACGAGCGTGTAGCGCGGACGCGGGCGGACTGTGGCCTTGAGCAACGGGTGCCGGCAAGATAAGAAACTGTCCAACTGTCGCAAGACTTGGGTAATGTGCAGCGACAATCAATGGCATTCATGATAGCGGGCAGACTGGCGAATGCAAACTGAATGCCAAGGCGTAGCGGAAATGAATCACATTGCCGACGTCGCAGCAGTCATAGGACTGGGCTTACCTACTTCATAAGGTAACGCTATCAAACGCAAGATGTTGTTCCCACCTACCAAAAAGTAGGGCGAAACGTATTTGCAAAGCAAGGCGCGTCGGTGCCGTACGTCCGACGCTCCGTGCCTTCTGAGCACGGCTTGGGCCGAGGTATGTCTGGTGCTGTGAACGAGGGTCACTTGACCTGACCCGACCTGCCACTTTCAACCGAGTTTCACAGCTGGCCATAGACATGGAAAATGCGGCATGGAAGGTGTAGCCACACCACACCATTTTTCCTCCAAATAAGGGTAAGTTCAGAATCTCTTCGTAAAAAGCTGCCACTTCCGGGACGTTGGTCACACCCGTTTTTCAGCATTCTCTTCCCGCGTGGCAGATATCGCACCACGCCATATCGGTACTGAGAACCGCAGCCGGCACCAGCTTAACACCAGCCCGGCACCAGCCTGGCACCAGCCCGGCACCAGCCTGGCACCAGCCAGGCACCACCCATGCCATGCCACGGCTGGTGTCACACAACTAACTGGCATGCGATATAGGTATTAAGACCCGGCTACTAACCCTACCACTCTGGATAGGCAACGACATTTCACATGTCGTTGTGGCCTACCAAGGACATTTCACATGACAGCAACCTGTTGTGCGACAACGAACAACGACCTCCCACAGCCTGTGCTGCCAGGGGTGCAGCTCTGCAAAATAACATGAGGGAGGGGGGGGGGGGGGTAAACAGTGGAAAATGACAAAATCCTCTCCCCAAACAGCCAAAAATGGATTTTCTCTCCGAATTTAGCCTACTTTCTTCTGAATATTGGGAGAGTTTGAGCCCATGCTGGGGGTGGCCCGGAACCTCTCCCCCAAAATGAGAAGGATATCACGCTCCCCATGTACGCGCCACCCCAGCAGCGCCCCGCGCCCTCTGACCCGCACCCACGCAGCTGACCTGTGGTGGCGGGCGTCGGCCAGCGCCGCGGCCGCCGCCAGCAGCACGGCCGTCGTCAGCAGGCAGCCGTGGGCGGCCATCTCCCGGCGGGGCGGGTCTCGACGAGGCGCACTGCACGCGGCGACGGTCCGCGAGCGTCTTCAGCCGGCGCAGTCCGGCCCGTCGGGGCTCGGCCGGCCGGACGCGCCGCCAGGGGGCGCGCCCGCCCGCCGGGACTGTCCCCGGACCGGGGCGGAGGACTGTTCCCGGACCGGGGCGGAGAGGAGGACAGGGTGGAAGACCGCCTCGGGACAGGCGCACGCCGCCGCCGCCGCGACATGCGGGCAGAGGGGGACAAGGCAAGGGACCGTCCCGGGACGGATAAGGAAAGGAGGACGAGGTGAGACACCATTCCGGGATTCCGGGACGCCTTAATCGTCCCGGGACGGATGGGGGATTATACATGGCGTGGTACAAGCAGTGGAACATGCCAAGACTGACCGGGTCTGCGCTGGGACCGGGATAGGCGAGGGACTGCGCCAGGGCAGACGAGAAACTATACTGAACAGGCGAAGGGTGGGCTCGGACGGACGGTGGGACACGTGTGGCACAGCGAGATACTACGTTGGAACACTCGAGGACCGTACTGGGCACGGCGGACTAGCTCCATCGGATGACGAAGGACTGTGCTGGCACAGAAGAGGATCCCGCTGGGACAGGCAGTGGACGCACATGACCTGACCTACCTAGACCATGACCTAGACGCACATGGTCTAATTTGATTAGAGGACTTCATGAGCTGGGCGAATTCATGGGCACTCTTGTGAAATGGGCAACAGTCCGAGTTGGACGTAGTTAAAAAAAACAAACATTACCGGGTGACACGTTTACACGCATGGGTTCACGTATAGGTACGTACACATTCAAGCATACGTTTACAAAATGTCGAGGATTTACTTCAAGAAATACCGTACAGTGTTACTGTTTGTGCTTTTTTCAATCGTGACTAGTTCCATTCCATTTACTTCCACAAGCATCAACGCAAATGGGAGCGTGTGAGCGGCTGAGTGTGTGCTTTTACAAAACGTTTGCATAATTAAGATCTACAACGTGCTGGGGAAGTGCAAGCAGGTAGGTAATGGGTGGTTACTAATGTATGTTTGATGGGTGGGTAATGGGCGGTTATTTGATCAGAAATGGGTAGCGGGTCGCTACCTCCATTGGCAGCGAATGGAGAGGAAAACAAAATTACACCTGTGAAGATCCCTTGCTGAGACGCTCGACTTGCAGGTGTTCACGCTAGGTCGAACGAGCGACCAAAGTGGTGCAAATAAATGAAGGCGCTTGGATAGCTGATAAGTCATTCCTGGGCCAACTCAGAAAGCTCTAATGAACGTCTAAATGTCCATGTCTAAGTGTTTATGTCTAAATGTCTATGTCTAAATGTCTTTGCCTAAATGTCTATGTCTAAATGTGTATTTCTAAATGCCCATGTGTCCATGTCCATATGTCTATGTACAGATGCCTCTCTGGATATCTGTGTCTTAATGTGTATGCGTAGATGTCTGTCTTAATGTTTATGTACAAATGTCTGTCTAAATTTAAGTCTCTAAATATCTTCATGTGAATGTCTGGATGTCTAACCCCGGTGGATCGTGACAATAAACTGTCTATATTGCGAGATACACTCCCCACAGTACATACTTCGGGCGGTTCATCGCCGGTCCGTCCGTTTGCAAACAAACCCTGGCACCGCCATCATAATGCCGGGTCTGAAACTCATACTACGTGTTGATTCTGCTTCAGCGAAGACAATTCCGACTCAGTCTAAGAGCCGCACAGCGCAAGATTCAGTCCACTCAAATCCGGAATCGATCCGCTGCCAACGGCGCAGGATATTAGCCGTTCTAAGTGCATCTTAAAATCTTAATGATGCATTTATTTTGATGATACAGTTGCATATGACCGTGCTCCATTCGGTGCTGACATAAGTTCACATTCCATGCCTATTGGCTGGTGCCTCTATTGTAGTTGATTCAACTCCGTTCCCGTCCCAAATATGTTTTCGGAGGAGTCGGCTCCACTCTGAGACAACGAACGCTTAGATAACTCATAAGTTGATTCGAACTCCGCCCTAAGCCGATACAAACTTGTCAGAGACGGCAAGGTTTGGCTCGTACTTGCGAGAAATGACGCCAAGTATCATCCCATTGAGCCAGGGGCACGGTAACTCCGCGGGGGGGGGGGAGGTCAGAAGGCGGGAAGTTAAGCCCCCTCCAGCTTCCTGAAAATTTAGTCTTGCCAAACAATTAACATTGGCTATGGACTCTGACTGCAGATAAATAACAAAATGTTATCACCCCCATTCCCAACATAACCGGATCTCCCTTACCCTTGCATTATTGCAGGGGCCATGAAAATATTGCCGCAATATTACCAACTCAGCCGCCGACCCGGCACCATCGGTACGCATCCATGATAGACTGCCGGCACCGCAGCAAGAAAATCTTGCATGCGTCATAAGAACATTCACTTCATCCGGACATAAGCAAAGCATCGCGACCAGAAAGTGTGAAACTCAGCGCTCGGTGAGGTATTGGTGACAAGTAAGAAATGCTTGTACGTTGTCAATCAACACACCTTAATGTACGACAGAAAGCTGGCTTGAGTGCTGCTCAGTTGGTATCTTGATTCACCAGACCGGCGTAAAACGGAAACTTTGTTCTCTAATGTTATCACCTCTAGTCGCACATCGCTGCCGTCACATAGCGCCCTTTTTCGATGTCAAGAAAGGATCCACTGTCACGTTTGAGACGTCGATGCACAGAATGGATCCTCAGCAATCACAAACCTGTGGCGACAAACGTCACCGACCTTTCCTGATAAACATCAAAGCTTCAGCGTTTGCTCAGCTGTGGGATGGATGCTGCCTTGTTCAGTTAGCGATGACCAAGTAAGCAGGCGCCGACGCATCTTACTAGCCGACGCAGACTTGATCACTGCCTTCAGTGAAAGGGTTAGGTGTAATACGATGAGGCATGTCAGTACAGAACAAATGGCCGTCTAGAATTTTGAAGGGCTGAGCAATCCATAACATGCTCCGCTGTCACGACTTCTGCGTGATGCACTGGGATCCCGGGAAACATGCAAAGATAGGATCTACCACACAAAACAAAGTGGAAAAGTATGTCTAGGAAGCATCGCATGCCGTTTTGGCGAAATGCCCGGTGTCGTGCTCGTGTAAGCCAGCTGTATATTTTAAATTTCAGCCAAAACGAGGCATTGATGCGCCCGCTGCAGCACATGGTCCACATTCGTGCAGACAGACACCAGTCCGGTTAGTGGAAATATCAATGAACAGTTGCCAGGCATCTTATCGCTGAACCACCATGTCAGATTAGGAGAATGTACGTGGTTGCGAGCTGTCAAACTTCATGACATGCATGCAGTCTTATCGGCGGTCATCTTCAAAGGGGGAGGTAGGTAGAAGTAACAGTTCTGGTGTCGACCAGAGATTGATGAGGAGAGCGGAAGACGGCCCACGCTCAAAGAGCAGTCCATTCAGCTTCTAGGAATATTACTAGCGTGAGAACAAGGATCACGATTATGATTATTGCAATTGTTACGAACTTGAGAACATTCGCCCACAAGCGTGGATACTCGCACGCCGCCAGTGCCGTCTTAGTTCCTGATGATTCACGACGGACCAGCAATATTTCTCCCTCCAGGGCCCGGACCACTGAGGAGGGACTCGGGCTTCCCCGGCTCGTAACGCACTCCTCGACCGTCACCAGGCGCGACGATGCGGCTCAGACGAAACCGGCGGGACTAGTGCTGATGAGCTCCAGCTGGGGCGGGGTGACTGGCTCGACAAAACGCCTCGGCACAACAGCTGTCGCCACTCCTCACTCGAGAATACCGTTGAGGTCCAGGCGTTATACCAATTTTCAGTTTGATGTCTCGATGCTGTCGCAGGCAGCTTCTAACCAAACCAGGTCGTGACTGAGCCAGAGCGCCTGTTCTTTGTGTTGTGCGCCCTAAACAGGCCAGATAGTGGCTGTCGCCGGGCTAAATCACAAACTGCCAACGGTTTTCCTTATTTGTACAATCTTTATTTGTATGGGGTTCAATGTGTTGCAAGAGCACGACCTGTTAGTTATACAAAACCTGTCGCTGTTAAAAACGTATTGTCAAAACGTCGTCCATTGACAACTTCCCACACCATGTCCAACGCACCAACCCTGCTATTGGTTCAATATCACAAGGCATCCGCAAGCGGCCTGAAAAACGTGGAAGATCACTGTCAGAAACTCGACAATACAGTCACATCATTTGCCCACAAGTTTGGCATCTGCAACCACTCCACTGCATCCAAAGCACAGCTAAGCCACCCTCCCACCGCAGCTCTAACGATGCGGAGCCACAAAGCGTGCTTCCGCGTGCCCAAGAGCTTTGTGGCTCCGCTCCACATTTGCTCCTGGCCGACGACCAAACAGCGGCGCGGGTGGCGCGGCTCAGCGGTCACCGCCACAACTGCCAGTTGGGACCGAGGCCGCGCGTTAGCGGGAGCCCTGCCGGCAGATGGCCTCGGCAAACTCGAGGACGGTGCGCGTGGGCCGACCGCTCATGCCTTTGCTCAGGTACGGCACATCGGTGGTGTTCTCCATGGTGCCAGCGATGTCCACGTGCAGCCAGGGCAAATCCTCGGCCACAAACTCCTGCGGGGAGGGATGGTGATGAGCGGAGGCGACTGATGGGCTCCAAGCAAACACATTCGAGGTGAGGAGCACTGGATACGCTGAGCAAAACGCCTGATCTACACTTGTTGCTAAGCAAAACAAACTGCAATACATAACAGTTTCATGTGTGCTGTTCGAAAACTTAAACGCATGGTTCCAATCATGAGCTCGAAAAACTCGACGCTCTCACACCCCAAAGTAACTAGCAAACAAACTCAAGTCATTTCATCCCCGTCCCCCTCCGCCGTCCTCCCTCCCCCCACCCGCGGGGCCGACCAGACCTGAAGGAAGGCGGCCGCCGTGCAGGCGCCGCCCCCGGTCGCCGAGCCGATGTTGTTCAGGTCGGCCAGCCTGCACTCTGCCGGCAGGAGGACGGCGCTCAGCAGGG